CTTTATCAATTGTTGATCATGTTGGATTTAGAGGTTTGTTGCTACTCTTCAATCAAGGTTCAAGTATGTTTCAAGAAACACAATCAAGAAAGATATGATGAGCATCTATCGTAATGAAAAGTCTAGAATAATGAAGTTGTTGGAGGACAATCAAAGTAGAATTGCCATCACAACTAACATGTCGACTTCAAATAATCAAAAAAGAGGTTTTGTGGTCATCATAGCACATTATATTGATAATTCATGAATGTTGCTAAGTCAAATTATAAGGTAATATTTTATTATTTTTGTTCTAATTCTTTTTCATATATATTTATGTTTAGGAGTTTAGAATATTTAGTGTAATTTTTTCTATTGTTTTTTACAATTTTCAATGTGTGCCTTGTCCACATACTTCTAAAGTACTTGCAAAGACTTTGCTTGATTATTTGATAGATTAGAATATTGATAGAAAATTGTCTACTTTCATGGTAGATAATTATTTTACTTATGATGCTGTGGTAAATGTGTTGTTAGAAAAAGTTTTTGATGATTCATTATGGGTAGAAGGAACCTTAATACATATGCGTTATTTTTTCCATATCTTGAACTTAATTGTCAAAGATAGGTTAGAGGTAATTGTTGATGGCATTGAGAGGGTTAGAGATAGTGTTGCTTTTTGGACAGCAAGACTAAAAATAGGGATTGATAAAAAAAAAAAAAAAAAACCAAAAAGAGAGCAAAAATTTGAAGAAATATCTAAACAATTGAAAATTGGTTTTTTCCAAAAAGTTAATTCTTGATTGCAAAATTAGATGGAATTTAACTTATTTAATACTTCATGTCGCTTTGTATTATAGAGATGTTTTCTCTCATTTGAAACAAAGAGACCTACAACATAAATGTTCCACAATAGAGGAGGATTAGGAAATGACTGGGGAGATTTCTAGTAGATTGATGTTATTTTATGAAATCATAGAGTTATTTTCAAGAAATAAATATCTTACTACTAATATTTTATTTCCAAAGATCTGTGAAATTAATATTGCATTGAAGCTATGGTTGACTTGTGGAAATGTTGTTATAGAAACAATGGCAGAAATAATGCTTGATCAATTTGACAAGTATTGAGTAAGGTTCATGGCATTATGGTTATAGCAACTGTTTTGAATCCTAGATACAAAATGGAGTTGGTAGAGTTTTATTTTGTTGAAATTTATGGAGATAGAACTCAAGGGGAAATGCAAAATGTTTTGAGGCTTTGTTATGACTTGATTGATAGATATCAATCCAAGACTTCCCAAAATGAGAGAAGTGTGCAAATGTCTAGCCAAACTCTAGTAGTGGCTGCCTCATCTTCCTCTATGATTGGCAATAAAATTTTTTTAAAAAAATTCAAGACATTCCTTACTTCAAAAGGTAGTGCTCCAACTGTGAAATCAGAGTTAGATGCTTATTTAGAGGAAAAGGGTGGCTCCATTTGAGGCAAAAGAAACTTTTGATATTCTGAATTGGTGGAAAGTTAATGGGATTAGGTTTCCTACACTACAAATGCTTGCTAAAGATGTGTTTGTTATTCTCATATCCACTGTACCTTCATAATCAACTTTTAGTACTAGTGGAAGAGTTATTAGTCCACATCGGAGCAAGCTTAAACCAAATACAATACAAACACTGATATGTCTTTAAGATTGGTTAAAGAAAGATTTGAAAGGTGTTAAGGCTATATTTCTTCTATTTTCTTTTTTTTTTTTTAATTTGTATGCTAAACTTTTATTACATTTGAAATTCAAGTTCTAACAATGATGTTAATTTCTTTTATCTATTTGAGGAGTTGGAGGAGAATGATGATGAGGATCATGAGTCTAGGGTAAATTTTAAACAATAATATTTCTTTATACAAATTATTATATAGGGAATTTTTTTCCAAAATTTGGAGTACTTGTTTCAAGAAGTTATTTCTTTAACTTGAAGTTATTGATCAAGCTTAAGTTGTTGCTACAAAGTTTGCCTTGGTGGATAGGATGGATATATATGCATTTGCTACTTGGTAGACTCTTTTATGCCTTTTTTTCTTAATGAACTTGTTGCTAGACATGTATGGCAATAGTTTATGCTCTCTTTTTTCTTTTTCTTTTTTTTCTATGAACTTCTACTAGACATAGATGTGTATGGCAGTTTATGCATTTTTCTTATGAACTTGCTGTTAGACCTATTGGATGTATATGGTAGCTTATGCTTTTTTTCTTTATGAACTTGTTGCTAGACTTGCTTGACATGTATGGCAGTGTTTATTTATTGCAACTAGACATTGATTTGCTAGACTGCATGTGTAATATATTTAGTTGTTTGTGTTGTTTCAAAATTTTACTTTATATAAATATTTGAACTAGTTTTATTTGATGAATGTGCAAGCTAGTGGAGTTTGAGTAAACCCATGTTAAGCTTAATTATGATTTAAGAGTAGGTGATAGTTTATTGATTCTTTTATAATGTTCTTTACTAGATTTTCTCAAGTTGTCAAGGTATGATTAATTTTTGGCTAGTTTTATTGATGAATCTAGAAACCAATGGAGTCTGAGCTAGTTTTATATAACTATTTGAACCAGTTTTATTTGATGAATGAAGAAACCATTGAAGCCTAAGTAAACTTGTGTTGAGCTTAATTTTGATTAAGAAGCATGTGATAGTTTATTGATTCTTTCTTAATGTTCTCTACTAGATTTTCTCAAGTTGTCATCGTATGATTAATATTTGGCAAGGATTTTGAATATCCGTAAGGATCTATCATTCCTCACGGGTATTGGGACGGAGGTTATTTTTTATTCTTTGCCAAAAATTCCATAGGAATCTCCATACTCACCATTGATAGGGATGGGGATGGAAAGGGGGGTCTCTGCTCCTATGAAGACGCATTACCATCCCTACTTGGAGGTTCCTCAAAGAAGTGCCATCACCATGCCGGCTTTAACAAGCACCATTGCATTAGGCAAAGTTGGGATTACAAATATGTTCCTTTAGTTTCTAATCTTTTCATAAAACTTACAATGTTGTTTTTTTTTTTTTTGAACATATATGCAAGGGGCGGGTTTCGAACCCAGCCCAGGGAAGGGGGAATGCACCAGGGTAGCTATTGCTACTAGGCCTCAAGGGCCAGGTGCAACTCACAATGTTGTTTGAATTTGTATCTCTATGAGTTTCTTATCTTCTAAATTAACATATTTGTGTCATGTGAACAAATAATTTGCTTAAACTTATACATAAACCATCCACATTAACCACTGCAATTAATCACGTTGATTCCATTTGTTTAAACGTACACATACCGTCCACATTAACCACAATAATTAATCACATTTATTCCCCATCTTGAGCATTCTTGTTCTTTCTCTAATTGTCGTTTTATGCTGTCGCCAAGTTGCAAATAGGGACATGAAACACGTGCGTATGGATATTCACATCCCCATCGGTTTTTTGGTCGGCACTTGATCCCACCAGTTCTCTTGGCGAACTCTTTTTTAAGCCCTTAAGCTTTTTAATAAAAGTGTTTAAGCCCGTTAACTATTTCTTAAGCAAATAAGCCCTCTATCTTTTCTAATATAATACCTCCTATTCATTAATCATTTGTTATATACTCCATCCATTCAACAATAATAATTTTAATTTATTTTTTTACTTTTAGTACAAAGATTTTAAATAAAAATTTAATATAACATGTAAATGATAATTAAATTTTTTTATCAAGTAAAGCTACTAAACAAGAATTATCTATAAAAAATTTCAATTAACATTTATTTATTATATTAAATTTTTACTTAAAATTTTTGTTTTAAAAATTAAAAAGTTAAATTAAAACTAAAGGAATGGAGTAAATAAGGTAACTTAATCCTCTATTATTAGCATTAAATGGACCTTTGACCATAAAAAAAAATAAATAAATAATGGTCTCATCTGCCCACTTTTTCTAGTTAATGAATTAAATGCCTATGACCTAAAAGTTTAAGGACATTTTGATCAAAAAAATAGTTTGAGTGCTTAATAATGTATTTTGCCTTATCCTCTTGTAAAATTAG